TTGTTCTTGGGGGGGGGGGTCATTTCAGTGACACATGTTGGCCATCTAGGGTCGCTGTTCTCCACCATATGCCCCATGTCCTCATACGTATTCACCCATTGTCATCGTACTGCCATCGAGTTGGCCCTGACTCACGGCCAGCCATGCACCATGGAAAAATATGCCACCAGTTCTGCACTGTTCCCATGATCAGCTGCAGATCTGAACGTTGTGACCTATAGGGTCTTCATTGGCTACTTTTCAGCAGTAGATTGCCGGGCCATTCTTCTTAGTCTTTCTGACTCTGGAAGCTTCACTTAAATCTGTTCGGTGTCATAGCAACCCCATCTACATCATCAGCATAATGATTGTTGTTGTTGTTGTTATGTGCTGTCAAGTAGGACCCGACTCATAGCGAGCCCTCCTTGGGTTTTTTAAGGTGGTATCACTATGGAAGTAGATTGCCCAACCTTTCTTCCAAGGAGTGGCTGGTGGGTTTGAACTGCCGGCCTTCTGGTTAGCAGTCAAGTGCCTTAGGCACTATGCTACCAGAGCTCTCAACATAATGATAATAATGATAATTAAATTGTTTAAGCCTTTATAGTACTTACTTTGTGCCAGTTGGCTTTTGAGTACTCTATGTATGTTAATTCATTTTATCCTCATAACAACTCTATAAAGTAGGTGTTATTGTTTTCCCTATTTTACAGATGATGAAATTGAGGTACAGAGAATTCAAGTAACTTGACCAAAGCCACACAGTAAGTGGCAGAGTCTGGATTCGAACCCAGCCTACCTGGTTCCAGAGTCTGTTGTTAACCACTGCATTACGCTGCTTCTTTCTGCAAAACAACACATACACCCAGGTTCCTTCCAGTAGGCACAATCTTCCTTTGGGTCTGCGTGCAGATCTGTCTACATGTCTACATTATGCATGGTTTGTGTGTTTACCCATGTGCAAGCCTGCACACTTCCACACTGCTGATTGTATATGCATGTGGACATCCACATGCATGGATATCTGTGTCCACGGAGGTGTATGTGTTCCCTCATGTGTAAGTGAAGTGTATGCCCACGTCTATCTGGCTGCTTGCCTATAGACAGGTTCACAAGCATGGATGTGCATGTCACTATTTAAGTATGTCCATGCTGTGCTTGTCTTTATGCAAATACTGAGAGCCATGACTAATTGTGTGTGGGGGCATGTGTGGCTATCATGTGTGTTGCCAGAGGGCCTGACCTCTTTGGTTTCATCCCTCCTCCAATTATGCATCCTCTTTGCAAAGGTGAACCCTACCTTGTGCCTTCTCTGTCTGCCAGTGGTAGCTGCTAGAGAGAGTCTTGCAATGCAGCTGACCAGCTATGCTTGAAATGCATGACCACAAAGCCCAGGAGGGCACTCAGCACTGCCCGAGGTCCTATTCTATTTCTTGAGCAGGCTCTCTTCCCCACCACTCCCTGGGGAGACAATTCCATAGCTCTTCAACCTCCCTCCTCACACCTCTCACAGCCTTCCCCCCAGTTCTCTGTGAGCTGGTGATCTCAGCTCATGCTTCACTGGGAAAACAGAGGCCGTCAGTCCAAAGGCCCTCACTTCCACCATGAAACCCACAATCTATGTGCCCATGCACTCGCCTTCTGCCACCCCCAGTGCAATGGAAGGCACCGTCCTCCTCCTCTCAAGTCCAGTCTGTCTGTGCGCACTGCAGCAGACTCTGCACATGTGCTCAGTTTCTCCAGATCCACCCTCCTCCCTTCCCCAGGCTGCTGTGTGCCCCCGGAGGCTGACCTGGGTATACCAGCAGGGCCCCTGTGCCTCAAACAGGGCTCAGCCAGTGAAGCAGACGCAGGAGACACAAGGATGGGTGACAGTGAGGTCAGAGTATTACTCCCTCTCTACAGGTCACCACATGCCCTTACACTGAAAGTCACAGCTCCTGTCAGGCACCCTCTCCACTCACAGGAACCTCTGCCAACTTGCCTGAGGCTGCTCCCACCACTCACTGTTCAGGCCCAGGGTACTGCCCTGTTCTTTGTGGTTTCCCTGTATCCTGCCTACACCTTTGTAAATAATCCCTTTACTAAGCCCTCTTCAGTTTAACCAAGGAGCCCTGGAGGTGCAGCAGTTAAGTGTTTGCTAACTGAAAGATTCTCCCTGTGGCTCTGTGGGAGAAAGACATAGTGATCTACTCCCATAAAGACTACAGCCAAGAAAACCACGGGACAGTTCTGCCCCATCATGTGGTGTCACTAGGAGTTGGAATCTACTCGGCAACACCCAACAATTCACCCAGTTTCAGTGAACCTCCAGTTTTCTATGGGAATCCTGCCTAAACCACACCCCTCCTGTCTTCTCAGGAACTTTACAGTCTCGCATCATTCACTTCTCCCTTACCCCTGGGTCCTTTCCATCAGCATAAGATGCACTCCTGTATCTCCTATCTTAAAAAACACTTCGCCTTCACCCTGCGCCCCATGTTAGCCACCACCTGTTTCTCCATTTCTGCCTGCAGTTAGACTTCTCGAAAGGCTTGTCTTCACTTGCTGTCTTCATTCCTCACCTCTCATGCACTCTTCAGCTCATTCCACTCTGGTTTTTTACCCCACACTCCAGTGAAACTTCTTTTGGCAAGATCACCAACAACATCCATGGTACAAAATCCAGGGGACACTTGCCTACCCTTGCTTTACTCAGTCTCCCAGCAGCACTTGACACTGTCCTCATGCCTTAGAAGACTCCTTGCCTAGTTGCTATGGCGTGAGCTTCCTCTTACCGCATTCCTTCTCAGTTTGCTTTGTAAGCTCCTCTGCTGTCACCCATCTCTTATGTGGGTGAGCCTCAGGACAGGTGTGATGGTTGTAAAATACACCCACGAAGTATTTGATACTCCTCCCTTTGGTGAATCCTGGTTCTCCTCCCTTTGAATGTGGGATGTATTTCATCACTCACTTCTAATGAATATACATGTGGCAGAAATGACAGAGAATGACCTCCAACAGTAGGTCATAAGAGACATTGGGGCTTCTGCCTTCTCTCTCTTTCTGGGATCCCTTGCTCTGGAAGTACCATATTGTCAAGACACTCAAGCAGCCCTCTTGAGAGGCCCATGTGGTGAGGAGCTGAGGCCTCCTGCCCACAGCCAGTGAGGAGCTGAGGCCTCTAGTTAACAGCCATGTGTGAGCCATCCTGGAATTGGATCCTCAGTTCTGGTCAGGCCTTCCAATCAGGGTTTCAGACCACTTCAAACAAGTTCAAAGGCCTGCTTCAAATGACTGCAACCCTGGCCAACGGCTTGACTGCAACCTCATGAGAAACCCTAAATTTAAACCACCCAGCTAAGCAGCTCTGGAATTCCTGATCCACAGAAAGTGTGTACTATAACAAATGCTTCATGCTTGGGTTAATTTCTTACACGGTGATAGATAACTGATACAGCAGATCTTGTCTCCTCCTCTGGCTGTCTGCACTCTCTCCTTAGATGAAAGCAGCCACTTCCAAAGCTTTAAGCACCAAACATATGCTGAGGATTCCTAAATCTGTGGCTCAAAATTCTGGTCTCTTCTTTGAGAGTCATATTTGACTATCTAATGGCCTATGTGACACTTCCTCTTGTGTGCCTCAAAGGCATCTCAGACTGAACTTGGAAGCTCTGGTAGCATAGTGGCTACGGCACTTGACTGCTAACCAGAAGGCTGGCGGTTCAAATCCACCAGCCACTCCTTGGAAGGAAGATGGGGCAATCTACTTCCCTAGTGATACTGCCTTGGAAACCCAAGGAGGGGTCGCTATGAGTCGGGGCCGACTCGACGGCAAACAACAACAACAAACTGAACTTGGTTCCTCTTTGCCTACATCGAGTAAATGGTACCATTCAGTACCTTAGGCCAAAACCCCAGGAGTCATCTTCAATTCCTTTTCCCTCACCCACCCCCATGCAACCACTCAGTAAGTTTCTGTCAATTTTACCCCTAAAATTCCTCACAAATGCATTCATGCCTCACTATGCTCACTGCCACTACATTCACCCACGCCACCTGGGCTATTGCAACCGCCTTCTATCTGCCTTCCTTAAAATCGACTTTCACACAGAAACCTGAATGATCTTAAATGTAGATTCAGGATACCTCACTCCCATGTAGATAGCAAAAGTGTCCACACAGTGCTGTGATCCCTGTACAGATGCCCCTTTGCAACATGATTTTGCTGCTCCTCCCCTCAAGAGGTGGAGTCTAAACTTCCACTTCTTTAAAGTAGGTTTGGCAGGGGAAAGGTTGGATGGTGCACAGTCATCATCATTACCAACCTTTATTAAAATGGAGCTCTGGTAGCATAGTGCCTAAAGCACTTGACTGCTAACCAGAAGGCTGGCGGTTCAAACCCACCAGCCACTCCTCGGAAGGAAGGTTGGGCATTCCTACTTCCGTAGTGATACTGCCTCGGAAACCCAAGGAGGGGTCACTATGAGTCGGGGCCGACTTGACGGCACATAACAATAACAAGCACTGCTCTGTCTACTCTGCATTGCATTATTTCATGCACTCCCCCAACAACTCTCTAAGGAAAGTACAATTATTATCACCATTTTATAGATAGAAAGGAGCTCTGGTGGTGTAGTGCCTAAGACATTTGACAGCTAACCAGAAGGCTGGCAGTTCAAACCCACCAGCCACTCCTCGGAAGGAAGATGGGTGACCTACTTCTGTAGAGATACCACCTTGGAAACCCAAAGAGGGGTCGCTATGAGTCGAAATCGACTTGATAGTAATGAGTTTGGTTTTTTGTTTTTGGTATAGATGAAAAACTGAAGCTCATAGAGGTAAAGTACCTGACTCCAGGCCACTCAGCTTGTAAGTGGCCAAGCTATAATGTGAATCAGCCCTGTCTGACTCCTTGGCCCGTGCTTCTAACCACCAGGAACATCCTCTGATGTTCTTTGGGAAAAAGAAGCTGGAATGGGGTAGGGGCAGGGTGAGTGGAGGGGGCAGCTCCAGCACCTGCCTACCCCGGGGCTGGCACCCACCCTCGTTCTCAAGCTTCCTCTTCTCCAGCTCAGCCTCAATCTGGTCCAGAACCATGGCCAGCTCCCCGAGGATCTTCTTCAGGTAGCTCACATCATCATGCTCTAGGATCTTGGCCTGGGCAGGACAAGCAGGAGACAGAGGGCCTGGCTGACCTCACTAGAGCCAGGGATGGCCAGGGAAGGTAGGAGTTTGCCTAACCCCCCTTCTGCAAACCCAGCATCCAGTTATCCCTGAAATGTATAGGATGTTCCCCTCCCTTTTATTCCCACTGCTGTGGGGGTTAGTTACTGGTAGCTTATAGCTGCCACCTTCTCCAGAACTCTTGGCCAATGAAAAGCTGCCCTATCCAGAAATACTTGGGAGGTTGTTATGCCTTCCTGCTCCCTCAGGCTATCTGTAGCCAATGACTGTCTGCTGTGGGTATAAAGGCTAGTCTGGCGCTTCCGCGTGATCAGCCTCATGGTGTCATTTATGGTCCAGAGCTCCCTAGGGATCAGGTGAAGCTTGGCCCCTTCCTTTCTCTACCCCTTCCCTTCTTTACAAGGTTCTCCTAAGAGCACTCCATCAACTACCAAGTTCCTCTGTTCAGTGCTCTGCTTTTAGGGACCCAACCCAAGACATGAGGAAACTGAGGCTCTGGGAGGGGAGAGGTGACAGTAACTTGCTAGTGGTGAGACAACCAATAAATCACAGAGGAGATAACATATTAAAAACAAGCCAGTTCTTTCACAGGTCACCTGCTTAGAACCAGCTTCTCCCAGTTGTCCCTTGGCATGAAAAAGATGGTGGGCAGGGGAGGTCAGAAGGCCTGGAGGCACTCACCATGAGCTTTTTCTGTTTAGAAAGGTAGGGCTCAGACAGCTGGGGCTCCTCTTCATGGTCTAATTTCATGAGGTCTGTGGTGGCGTTGGCTAAATGTCCTGAGGAAAGAAGAGGAAAGAGCCTGTCCTTCTGATAACCAGTGCCTGCCCATCCCTTCCCCCATGAGACTTGAAGTAGGTTCCATTCCAAACTTTGCTCAGGAAAGTAACACTATCAATAGCCAATGCTTCTAAAGAACTTACTGTATGAATTATAGGCTGTGACATAGGGATGAATGAGACCCTATGGAGGAGACAGATATGTAAAGAAATCTCCACGGCATAGCATGACTGATGTTGTGATAGAGGAACAAATAGAATACTGTGGGACCCAGAGGGTCATGTGTCTAGGGTCTTAGAGGTCAAGAAGCCTCAGTGAGGAGGAAACTTTGCCTTTGATGATGAGAAGTTTGCTAGAAATTGATATAACCCTAAACCAGGACAAACTCACTCAGCATATGTCTTCCACCCCCCCCCCCCTTTTACAAAGGCTAAGTAACAAGTGACCTTGAACCTAGATCTGTCTGACTCTCAGTTCAGTGCTCATTCACAACGAAAATCTTGTTCAGTGCATGAAAAAGCAAAAGAGATCTTTGATGTCTTGAAACTTCTACTTCTGGTGAGGCTACTTCCCTGAAGATTTAGGGACTGGGTGATCTACACTTCCTGGTAAAACTGGCCTTTAAAGATACCAAAAAGGCAAAGGTAATGGAGAGTGGCTTAATGATGGAAATCAGAGTAGCATCTTGAGAATTATTCTTAATATGACCTTGTTTGGAAAGAGTGTTTTTGAAGATGTGACCAGTTAATTTAACACAAAGTTACACTGGAGTAGAGTGGATCCTAATATAATATGAAGAGTGTCCTTATAAAAGAGAAGAGACACAGAGAGACATAGAGGGAATACAGGCATGTGAGATGGAGACTGGAGTGATCTACAAGCCAAGGAATGCCAAGGATTGCTGGCCATAACCAGAAGCTAGGAGAGGGGCATGGAACAGATTCTTCCTAAAAGCTCTAAGAAGGAATCAACACAGATCCTACTCTGATTTCAGACTCCTGAAAAACTATGAGAAAATGTCTGTTTTTATAAGTCACCCAATTTGGTATTTTCTTACAGCAACCCTAGGAAACTAATGCACTGGGAGAAAGGAAATGTCCTATAAACTAACAATGAAAGTCTAAGCAGTGGGTTTTAAAAAGAGAAGGAATCATTAAGTGGGCTAAGATCCTGGGGTCTATTCCCTGAGTAGGGCAGGATTTCTCTGGAATTCCTGGCCAGTAAATCAGGGACATGTAGCTCAAGTCTGTGGTGAGGCTCCAATCCTGCCCTGCCCTCTCCCCTGGGCTCCAGCTGCACCTGGACATCCCCCGGGCTCTGCAAACTCATTCTAGTCCAACTGACTTTGTCATATTCCCTGCTTCTCCTCCTGTGTTCTCCCTAAGTTGCAGCACCTCCTACCCCTACAATGAGCCAAGCCAGATGCCTGGGAGTTGTCCTCAAGTCCTCCCTTCCCACATCGGATAAGCCCCAGATCCTGTTGATTTTTTTCCTCCTTAATCATTAGAGTCTCTGGGTGGCGCTAAAGGTTAAGTGCTCAACTACTAGCTGAAAGGTTAGTGGTTCAAACCCACTCAGAGGCATCTCGAAAGACAGGCCTGGTGAGCTGCTTCTGAAAGGTCACAGCCTTGAAAACCCTGTGGAGCAGTTTCTCTCTGCAGTATGTCACCATGAGTCGGAATCACCTTGACCTCAACTAACACAGGAACAGCAGTCTTTCTCATATTCCAGCTCCCACATTCAGCCTTCTTAGTTCCGGTGTCTTTTGATCTCTCACCTGGATGATTTTAATCCAGTTCTTGCCAACTCCACTCTTTGTCCTTCAAGCCCTTCACACTTTTGCCAGAGATATCATCCTGAAGCACACGCTTGACTGTTCCACTCCCTGGCTCACTTCTCCCTGCCCTTGGGTAATGTCCAAGATCCTCAACTTGTATTAAAAGACCCTGCAGGATCTAGCTCTTCTCCTCCTCACCTACTTTTATCTTTCATTCAGTTCTCCCAACTGTCTCTGTCCCCAGATAGTACCTTATAGTCACTCTAATTGCTTGCTATTCTCTGAATGTACCAGACCATTCCAAACCTCCAATCCTTTGCTCATAGTATCCCTTCTTCTTGGGATCCCCTTCTCCTCTTTTCCTGAAAATCCTCTTCCAGACTCAACTCAAGATCACCTCCTCCATGCAGCCCTTCCTGATCCTCTGGGATGTCTGAGCACTTAGTGCCTTTGTGTTCCAGAGTTCTGCCAGGAAATGCAATACACTAATCAGAGCTGCTTTCACACAGCAGTCAATCTGAATAGTGCCCCCTGGATCTGTGCAGTGCACATCCTGTACTGCTGTGCTTGGGGACTGTGATGTTAGTGTACTTCTCTCTGGATGTATGTCTCTTCCACTAGAATGTGAGTTTCTGTAGATCAGGGGGCACTGGAACTTGGCCCAGGCCTGTACAGAACAGGGATTCAGTAAGTGTGTGGATGAACAAGTGAATGAATTAATGAAGTGACACAGTTGCGCAGTTTCTGTTCTCTGGGGTTTCACCATCCATCACCCTATCTCCTGGCCTGATACATCCCCCAGGAAACACACTCTCAGCTCTTTCAGCTTTAGGGCTATATTAAGTCTCATCAATGTTTTATGAATGTGAAGGTCAAGTGTAGCATTTTCTCTTTTGCCAGTCACATGTGGCTCTGTTCAGACTCCAGGAGGGCAGGCCAGGCCAGGCCAAGGGAAGACCTTGGGCTAATTAGGGATCACTTGAGGCTGACTTCTGCTCCTTCTGTTCTCTGTAAGGCTTCCCCCACACACACACTGGGGCCCACTCTGTACTCCCACTGCCTTCTAGGTACCTTAAATGGCTCAGGTCAGGATAGGAGCGGGGAGGACACCCAGCCTCCAGAAGAACTTAGGGATCACCTCCCCGTAAGTCCAAGCCACCGTCATTGCTCACCTAGACAACAGGTAGGACCTCCTAACTAGCTGCCCACTCATTCTGTTGGTTGGAAAAGGCATCCTTGTAAAATACAGATCTGATCATGTGACTTCCCATCACTGTTTCTCCCTTGCTCTTTAGATAAAATTCACTCCTTAGATTCATACCACCACCATCGAAACTATAGTGAACACCTTCAGTTCCCCAAATACACCATGCCCTCTCTCACCCCTGAACCAGAAATGATTCTTCCTGTCCTTCCCTGTCTAACTCCCTCTCAGCCATGGATGTTGCTGCATTCAGGAAGCCTTCCACAACCCCAGATGCTGGGGTGGTCATCTTCTGTGGTACCATGGCTTCCATGCTCCCTTTATCATGACACTGATTGGTATTGGATTCACATTTTCAATCACTTCATGTTTGACCCGGTTATACATGCATACTTGTTAAGAAAAGTTCACAGTATTAAAGAACGTACGGTGAAAAGTGGATCCCTCTCCCTCACTCCCAGGACCACAGCTCTGCTCCCCAAAGGCAAACACTATTGTTGGCTTCTCGTATGCCCTTCCAGAAGTATTCCCTGTGTTTGTAAGCCTGCATATATTCACTTAAGCCTCCTTTTATGTGTAGTGGTGACAGCACACCAGATGCGCTATTTTGCCCTACATTTTTCCCCACTCACTAATATATCTTAGAGAGCATTCCATATGCCTGTTTCTATTAACCGCTGCACAGTTTTCCACTGTATGGACATACCAAAGTCTCTTTACCCAGTCCCTGACTGATGGACACCTGAGTTATTTCTAGCATCTTGCTGTGACAAACTATGTTACAGGGACTATCCTTCTTGGTGCACATGTCCAAGAATCACTGCAGGACTGTCTCCAAGGAGTGGCCCTTTCACGTTTTATGTAGAGTGCCAGACTGCCTCCTGGGAGACCTGTCATCTTGTCTTAGTCCTGCACTGCAATCTCCTGGTTACTCGTCTGCCTGTACCCACAGAACTGGGAGCTATGGAAGAGCAGGGGCTGTGTTTGTCCCCATCTGTCCCCAGTCACCTGCTCAAGGTCTGGGTCACAGGAGACCTCACAAATGTTGACTGAATGGGGACAGGACAGTATAGATATGTCCTGAATCTTGTTCAAGGGGATTCTAAAGAGACAGGGTTGAGTTTCATAATCTCCACCTCCCCTGACCCCAACCTTTGGACATCAGCCTCGTTCCTTCAGGAAGAAGGAAGTGACCATGAACTAAACACCTCTTATTTACTGGGCATCTTAACACATTGCCCATCTGTAGAACCCCATGGTGTCTGCATGAAGCCTGGACCAAAGTATACAGTGCTGGTGGATCATCTGGCTTAAACAACACTATGCTCTGGGTGTGTCCAGGCTGGCAGTTAGAGCAGTCAATGGTGACTCTTGAAGCAGAAGTCAGAGAGCCTGCTGGGGACCTTGCCATAGCTGGGCAGCCTTCTAGTGAGCCCCTCCTCCAGCCCTGACCTCTGAGGCTGGGACTCCTAAGGGAAAGTGCCCCAACTCCTCAGGATAAGACCCAGATCCTCAAAAGCTCTGATGGCATAGTGTCTAAGGCATTTGACTGCTAACCATGGCGGTTTAAACCCACCAGCCACTCCTCAGAAGGAAGATTGGGCAATCTACTTCCATACAGATACCGCCTCAGAAACCCAAGGCGGGGTCGCTATTTTTCCAGACCCTCAGGGATGACTGGCCAGGGGGAAGGGGATGAGAGAGACTGCCAGAGAGGGAAAGAGACACATTCAGTCAGAAACAGGGTGAACGAGATGGAAGGCCAGAGAAAGAGACACAGAGAGAAAATGAGTAAGAGACAGCAGATGATGAGATGAAGAGAGAGACAGAGACAGAGGGAGGGTCAGAGAGACAGACGGACACAGTAAGAGGGAGAGTGGGAAGAAGAGGAGGAAAGGGATGAAAGAGAAGCAGACACAACAGTGAGAAGACCAGGAGGTGGAGGGAGGACCCACACTGAAGGTGTATGGTGGACAGTGAAGACCTGCTCAGGGACGAGGCCTCCATGCCTGCCCCGCCCGCCCGCCAGGCACTCACTGCGGATCTCGGCCGTGGCGTACTTGGGGATCATGGAGTCGGTGGTGAGCTCAGGGTGCAGGATGCAGCCGTGCGTGTAGGCGTCCATGGGCAGCGCGTCCAGGAGCTCGCGGTACTGCAGCACCCGCGCGTGCTGTGGGCTGCCTGCCTCGGGCATCAGGGCCACCACGTGCTCTGTGGGGCACCGCCAGGCGCTGGGCAGGGGTGGGCAGTGTGCCGTGCCTCACCCTGTCCCCATGCAGGGAGGCCAGCCCCCTCCCTACCGCATCCCCAAGGACACAGCCACACCCTCTTCCCCCAGCCTCTGGAGAGGAAGTCCCTACTCCGCAGTTAGACTGGCAGGGGTCTCTGCTTAGCCCTTCCCATCTCTCCTCACTCAAACTCTGCCAAGCTACCTGTCCCCAGGCTGCTCCTCTTAGCTTGGGACTTGTTACCTGAGTCTAGGCCCCCAGTTTCCAGAGAACAAGAGAAGCTGGAAACCTACATCTCTTAAAGTGCATTCTTCCTGGTTTTTAAACTTTGGCAACTAATTCCCCTCTCAGCTGCTGTCCGCAGCCTTTGTGGGGGCAACCAGATCCCAGAGGGGGCTGAGGCCTTCCGGGTCGCACTGGGTCCTGCTGTCTGGCGCCAAAGAGAGGCCGGGAGGAGACACCTGGAGGATGCAGAGGCCTGAGCTCTGGGAACCACCCTGGCACTGATATAAACCGGCCATGGGACCTGGCCAAGTCTGTCAGTGTCCGGTCCTCTGAGTCTTTATGGAGGACTTGTAGGCCATGAACTCCATGTTCCCGTGGGCCTTGCCTGTGTGGGAGATATTCTGGGGTATCTGGGCCTGTCATGTCTGTGGGGCTAGGGTGTCTAGACTCAGGAGCATGAGGTTTCTGGGGAGTCTCGGCTCTATCTGTTCTTATGAGGTCTTAGGGGGCTGGTCCCTGCCTGTGCCCTGGGAGATCTGGACCTGTTTGTGGAGACATGGAGGGGGGTCTGGGTCCTGTTCATGCTTGAGGGGTTCTGAGTGTTCCCCAGTGCTTCTAGGGGAGTGTCTGGGCCAGGCCCTTTCCCTGGAGCATCCAGGGAGGGGACTCTCTGGAGCCCCCGAGGATCTGTGGCAATGTCTGAGGCCAAGCCCCCAGCTCTACTGTTCTCTGGGGGCAGCTGAGCGCTGGCTGTAGCTCTCTGGTTTCTCTGGGGGAGGGTGGTCTAGGCCCCCATCTGAGCCCATTCTGCCCCCGGGGTCTGGCACTGCCTGGGGTCTGGGGGTGAGTGCATACCTCCTGTGAAGGTCCGCTCCACGTAGTCGATGATCTGGTCGTAGTCACTGATGATGTTGTCACGGTGGATGATGACGGGCACCTCCTCGCCCAGGTTGAGCCGCATGAACCAGGGCTCCTTGGGCTCGCTCTGTGGCAGGCTCACGTCCCGCTCTTCACACGCCAGGCCCTTCTCGGCAATCACCAGCCGCACCTGCAGGGGCCAGGGTCAGAGCGGGGAAGGCGGGCAGACAAACGGGGACACTCTGCCCAGGCAGGGCAGGGGCGTGCAGGGAGGGAGGTCAGAGGTCACACACAGGAGGGGGCACTGTTGCTTTCAGCCCGTTCTTGGGCGCCTGAAGAAGGGGTGTTTCTCAGGGACATGTAGTTAGTGGTGGAGGAACAGCCCTGCTCTGGGGATAGGCGGCAGTGCTATCTGGTGGGTAATGGCCTAGGATTTACATTTAGACACATCTGTTTTTGCTGTGTGGGCTTGGGCAAATTCCTTAACCTCTCTGAGCCTCAGCTTCCTTCTTTGCAAAATGAGGGGATTCATAGCCCCCAACCCAGTGTCTGGCACATAGATGGCACTCAGTTCATGATGATCATGATCATGAGTAGACACTCAGCCTGGCTTCCAGAGGTAACTTCACCAGGAAATTCATAGACATTTTTATCATCACCATAATCAATAGTTAAATGTCTCAAATTATTTGGGAAAACAAAGTGAAGTGAAAACAAAAAACAAAAACAAACAAAAAAAAAAAACAAACAAGATAAAAAACCACAACAACTTGCCAACATCAGTCCAACCTTTTATTAGTTGCCTGGTTTGATGCTCACAATAGCCCCAGAGGATAGCAGAACAGGGATATCTCTCTATTTTTCTTGATGAGAAAACTAAAGCCCAGAGAGGGCAAATAACTTACTCTAAGTCACATAGCAATTCAGCAGCAGAGCTACGAAGTAATGGTTCCTGACTCCTAGATCAGAGGCCCTGAAGGTGTGCTGGACCTGCTCTCTCCTGAGTCTTTCTCTATGTCTCTAGAAGGGTCCCAAACAAACCTCTGGACTGGTCGGAGCTAATGGAGGGCCTTGAGGCTGAGGCAGTGCCTCAGAAGACCAAGGCCAATACGTCAGAGCAGGAAGACCTATTAGAGAAAACCTAGTCCAACGACCCTCTTCCTGGGGACTGAGACTCAAAGAGGCAAATAGACTTGTCCCAGGTGCCCCAGCAAGATGGCAAGCAGCTCCACACCCACACTCTCCTCCTATCTCCTGGCTCCAGTCCAGGGAAAGAGAGGGCATCTCTGAGAGAGGCAAAGCCATGTCCTCCTTGACCATCAATGTCCCCCCACACACCCAGGGTCATTGCACCTGGGACTGGACATTCCTAGCCTCCATCCAGATATAAGGAGTTAAGCACTCAGAAGAGGCAATATAGTGTCATGGTAAGTACCTTGGACAGGACTCCACACTGTCTAAGTTCAAATCCCAGCCCCACTACTTACTTGCTGGATGACTTTGACAAGTAGTTCTACTTCTGTGTGCCTCAGTTTCCTCACATGACCAATAGGAATCTTACTTAGCAATCCTATCAGAGGACCAGTGTGAGGATTGAATCCTTTGGAACAGTGCCTGACACATGGTAGAGATGGATGTGTCTTAGCTACTTGCATTAGACCAAGTTTTGGAGCCTGGCTTTGCTGCTTATTTGCTGTGTGACCTTGTGCAAGTCACTTAACCTTTCTGATCCTCAGTTTCTAGGCAATGAGGCACATAATCCACTCCTCCACAGCAGATGTAAGGTTTTAATGGGATGATATGGATAAAATCCCAGCACTGGAGGTTACTACATGGGTTCTAGCATCACTGTTATTATACACACACACATGCACATATGCACACACGCACACACGCACAGACCGTCCTGCATCTCTGGTTGATGCCTGCATTGTTTGGACCCAGGGTCCCTGCTATGGGCACCTCCTAGACCCAGAAGACAGAGAGAGACTGGAGATGGCACGAGATGAGAAGCAGTAGCAGAGAAACAGTGGCAGCAAAACCAGGAGACAGCACGAGACAATGCAGTGAGCTTCCCAGTGCATGGAGCGAGGCGGTTACGGTGGGTGTGCTGGCCCACAGAGTGAGAGAGCTGAGTACCTCTGTGCAGGAGGCTTCCTGACGGAGTGGGGTGCCTCTGTGCACTTAATAGCAAAGCTAAAGAGCTTTGTAACACTTGCTGGAGCAGGACAGAGGCCAACCTGAAGGACCCAGGGGCCAAGGATGAGGCTTGCCTTTGAGCATGGCTGAGGAGCTGTCCTAACCAAAGAACTGTATCCTAAGTCATTTCTGATTCTGAACTGTAGCCTGTTACTTCCTTAATAAACCCCATAATTGTGAGTATTAGACAACTGCAACGAGTTATGGAACCCAGCAGAGAAGGGGAGAGTGCCGTAGAGGAATGGCTGGTGTCAGAATTGGTAAAAGGGTTGAAGAGAGGCCCCAAGCAGTCGAGGCTGGAGTTACAAAGCTCCGGCTGGAGCAAGCTGCCCCCTTCCACCTCCTTCCCTGTCCCCTGTCACTGCATCCTCAGACCTCAGTACTTAGGCCCCACACAGCCTTCCAGCCTCCAGGCCAATGTGGGGCCTCTGAATGGCTGCATAAAAATAGAGACAGGACCAGGCCTGTGCCCTGGCAGGTCACTTGCCCCAGTGACCGCTCCTTGGTCCTGCCTTGGGGCTCCGGCAAGAGTAGGAGGAGGGGTGCTTCCAGTGAAAGGGACTATCTTTAGAGACAGACAGTCCTGCTTGGAAGCTACCTTGGGGTCAGCCTGCTGGTGGCCAAGGAGACTCTCTCCTTTAGCTCAGCTGCAGGCCAAAACCATGTGCCACCCCGCAGGGAAGGAGGGCATGAGGAGGAAGCCAGGCCCTGGGGAAGGGCATACAGCCACCAAAGCCATCTGCCATCTCTGCCACCTGGAGCCTGGGTCACAACTCAGTGTGACCAGATAGCAGCCATCTCCGGTAAACTCTTTTCTCTGTGGGTGCCTGAGATTCCTCCCCACCCCACCCCAACCCGGTGCTTCATGGATGAGTCCCTGGCTCTCCCCCGTCCCGGACCTTGTTTATGAAGCAACGGTGATGGGCTGGGATGGTGTCCCTGCCCTGCCATTTAGTTGCTGTGTGACTTTGTAACAGACACTTAGAGTCTCTGAGCCTCAAGTTTGTCATCTCAAATACTTTTTTTATTTTTAATGTTAACACCTTATAGTTTACAAATGCATTACGTTTCAACACTTATTGTTGAGTGCTACTAAGTGCTGAGCTTTGTTCTAGACACGGGGGGCTCATCAGTGAACAAGACAAAGATCCCTGCCCTCAGGGAGCTGATGTTCTAGCTGGGCAGGCAGCCAATGGCAGTTACAATTAACTACATGATGTGCTTAAAGGGGGCTAGTGCCTGAGGAGGGAGGTGAGAAAGAAAAGAACAGGGCAAGGGGGCACTAGGGCGTCAGAGGGTTGGGGAGACAGGTGGTGATTTTGAATAGGATGATCTGTCAGGGTGGGCCTCCCTGAGAAGGTGTCATCTGAACAAAGGCATGAATGAGGGGAGGGAGAAGTCCATTCAGGTGTCTGAGGGAGAGGTACTCCTGGCAAAGGGAACAGCCCATGCAAAGACTCTAAGGCAGGAGCATGTCTGACCTGTCTGAAAACCAGCAAGGAGGCCATTGTGGCTGGAGCAGAGTGGACAGGCTATGGGCGGAGGGAAATGAGGAAGGGAGAAGGGTAGACAGGATTATGCACAGGAGCTTTTAATCAAGCCCCCCCAGACCAAAGGGTCAACAAGTACATTCAGGGAGCCCTTGAACTTGGATGGGGAAAATGACATGTTTACTTCCAGTCATCTCAAACTGACATTTAGCAGTTTCTTCAATTATACATGTAGGCGACAAAGCATGGTAATGTTAGCACTGCCTGTAATATTGTCACCGCTAGAAATCAGATATTCTCATCACTTTGCAGTTGTAGTAGTCACCTCCAAATATCATGTACACGCATCATGACTTCCACATTACAGTAGTTGTCAGACCTGCCACTGGGTCGTGTTATATAATGGGTTAATACAGAAACACATATTATTATATAACAAATTTGTTTTAAAAAAATCTTTCCATAGTTGGACTCAGTATTAATTGGTTTCTTTTATAATATAATAACTCTACATATTTTATTTTCTTCAATTTAAAATATTATTCTGAGAAGGGTTCATATACTTTCTACTGACTTGCAAGGGGTCCATGGCCCAAGCAAGGCTAGAACCCTGCAGTGGGGCCTGAAGCTGCTGTGAGGACCCTGGGGGGACCTGGGGAGCCACTGCAGGCTTTTGAGCAGCGGAGTGGGCAGGTCTCAGCATCACTGCCCCATCAGCTCTCACCTGTAGGTCCCCTGTTGTGGGGTGGGTAAGTAGTCAAGCCCAGCACAGACAGTGCTGAGACAGTGCCCAGGAGCCTGAAAGGCAAGGCCAGAGTCGTGGTGGTGGGGTGCAGATTATCCTTCTCCTGCTGTCCTCCTGCCATGTCTTGGAGGGGCCTCTAGGAGACCTGTTCAGTCCTGAGTGTCAGGGCTGGCCCCTGGAAGGACCCAGAGCTGGCTTCTTACCCCTTGGGTCTGAGGTCTGATGGAGAACCTTGAAGCTGCTCCCCTGCCGGGAGTCAGGGGTGGCCACAAAGGAGGATGCACAAAGGTCGGGGTGGCCCCCAGAGATGCTCTCTCTGGTGGAAGCAACAACAACAATAATAATAGCTAACTCCTACTCAAGCCATGGTATTTTCAGTTGCCTTCTATGTGTGTGAAAGCTGGACAATGAATAAAGAAGATGGAAGAAGAATCGATGCCTTTGAGTTATGCTATTGGGTAAAGAATATTGAATATGCATGGACTGCCAGAAGAATGCAAAGATCTGTCTTAGAATAAGTACAGCCAGGATGCTTCTGGAAGCAAGGATGGCAAGGCTTTGTCTCATGTACTTTGGGCATGTTATCAGGAAGGACTAACCAACAACTGAACTCACTGCCGTTGAGTCGGAGCTGACTTACAGTGACCCCTTCTTGGGTTTCCAAAGCAGCATCACTACGGAAGGAGGGCCTAGTCCCTGAGAAATGCCTAATAAAGTAGAAGGTCAGAGGAAAAGAGGAAGAGCCTCAATGAGACGGACGGACGCGGTGTCTGCAACACTGGGCTCAAACAGCAATGACTGTGAGAATGGCACGGGACTGGGCAGTGTTTGGTTCTGTTGTACACAGGGTCGCTTTGAATTGAAGCCAACTCAGTGACACCTAACAACAATAGTAACTCATGTAGCACTTCCTCTGTGCCAGGTGCCATTCAAAGAACTTCACATGCCTCAACTCATTTAATCCTTACAACAACCCCATTACTTAAGTACTAGTATTATGCTAGGAGCTCTGGTAGCATAGTGGCTAAAGCACTTGACTGCTAACCAGAAGGCTGGCAGTTCAAACCCACCAGCCACTCCTCGGAAGGAAGGTTGGGCAATCCTACTTCCATAGTGATACTGCCTCGGAAAACCAAGGAGGGGTCGTTATGAGTCGGGGCCGACTCGACGGCACATAACAACAACAACAACAAGTATTATGCTAAGGAGCTTTGATGGTGTAGTGGTTAAGGCATTTGGCTGCTACCTGAAAGGTCAATGGTACAAACTCACTAGCTGCCCTGAGGAAGAAAGAAGAGGCAGTCTGCTTCTGTAGATTTACAGACTTGAAAACCCAATGGGAGTCACTATGGGTTGGAATCGACTCAATGGCAGTGAGTTTGGTTTGAGTATCATGCTCATTTTGCAAAAGAGGAAATGGAGGTACAGAGACAGGAAGTAGTTTGTTTTTAAAAAACTGGCTGGTGTGAGGATAGGGGGATGCACAAAGGACTGGGGCACACAAAAGTAGGCCAGTTTTTCCTGCCTGGACAGGAGAGAGGCAGTTTGTATCAAATGTCTACTCTATTTTTCTGTTGAGGAGACTAAGGCCCAGAGAGGGTCAGGACTTGCCTAAAGCCACACAGCCAGTTATAGGAGTGCCAGCACTAGAATCCTGGTGTCTTGACTCCCTCACTTTTTGCTTCAACCCCACCCTCAATGCCCTCCTGCCAAAGGAGGAGGAGGTTGGTGGCAGAAATAGCCTCAGAGGCACATTCACATTTACCCCATGCATTTGGAGCTCCCCCCAAACCCCACAGCCCCAAACGATCTCCTATGATGGTGCCTGAAAGTCCACTATTAACATGTTATTTTTTTAAGACATTGTGCAAAGTGTATGACTGTACATGAGATCTTTTTATTTCCACAACCCTCTGAAGTAGGTACTGCTATTATCTCTAAACATACAAGGAAGCTGATACTTAGAGAGATGAAGATGTTTTACAAAATCATATAACTGGGAAGTGGCTGAGTTGGAATTTAACCTGACTCCAAAGTCCATGTCTGTAATAACCACAACTAGCACTTGCTGAGCACTTTTCTTGATGCCAGGTGCTGTCCTAGATGATGCACATGGATGCATTTGTTCAATACTTACAACAACCCTGCTGGGGAAGTTTCCATTCTCCATTTGCAGAGGCAGAAAGCTGAGGCATGGAGCTTAGGCAGCTTGCCCAGGATGACCCCCCATTGGTCAGTGATGGAGCTGGCCCCAGCATCTGGGATTTTGACCTTGTCACTTTGCTGCTGCTGCTCTCTGGGTCTGGAAGGGTTCCCAGAGCCCCTGTGGAGCCACCATCATTCCTGGAGGTGGGCTGTTCTCTGTATTAAGGGTGAATGTGCCATTAAGGACAGGCTTCTCAGATGCTCCACAGTGGGGACAGATCCTTGCATGCAAGCAAGACCCTTCAAGACTGGAGAAAACAAAGAGAACTAGCCTGCTAAGCTTCTGCTATGTGCCAGCCACTTAACATACACCCATGCCCTCTAAATCCCCCAGGAATTCTTCAGGGTAGGCTTAAAAGTCTCCTTTTTCAGATGAGGATGCTGAGGCTCAGAGAGGTGAAGTGACTTGTCCAAGGTCACACAGCCAATAGATGGCCAAGCTGAGATTAGAACCAAGACCATCTGACTGCATAGCCCACATCCTTTCCTCCAAGATATGCTGCTTCTGTAACTCACCACAGGCCTCTGAGTTGGAAGAAGGTCCTGGCAGGGGAGGCAGTAGGATGCCTAGGAAAGCTTGGCCAGTGCGTAGTTACAAAGTGGCTCTATCCCTGACTAGGGGGCCATGTTGGCCTTGAGCTCAGGATGAATAAGAAGTATTTCCTGGGAGGAAGAGCAGGAGGTTTCCTAAAGGGGTGGTGAGGGGAAGTGCTGTCTGCCTGCCACCTGCCTGGTCACAGCCACTCTGGCCTGACTCTTGAGGTTCTGGATGGGAAGAGGGCCTTGAATCCCAGAGGCAGTCGATTCACCTCCAAACCCCCAGCTGTATGCACAGGTGCTCAGCAAGCATGCACAAAATTCATGGATGCATCCATGTGTGACCTTGGTTAGCTCTGACCCCTAGCACTTTAATGACATATTAACAGAGCCTTGCCCCTGACCCAAGTGCTGCACCAACACTTTTTGGACATCATCTCATTTCACACTTACAAGTACCCTCTGAGAAATTCATCACTATCAGCCCCGTTTTACAGATTACAAAACTGAGGCTTCAGAGAGACCTAAGACCTAAGACCCCAAGTGAATTAGTGGGGAAGATGGCTCTCCCACTGAGAACTGTCTGGCTGCAGTCTATGCTCTAAACTAAGGTTATTAGAAGGATGATCCATGGACCAGCTGCCTGGAAGCTTGCTAGAAATGCAGCATCTTGGGCCCCATCTCAGACCTACTGAATTAGAACCTCTAGGGTAGGGCCCGGCTCTCTGGAGAACCCAGAGATTCTGAGGCATGCTCAAGTTTGAGTAGTCCAGTCTAGAGCACTAAATACTGCTGCCTCTTTGACACCCCTCTCAGCAACCTGAGAAAGGACTGGCTAGAAGTAGCTGCTCTTATCATTCCCATTTTCCAGGTGAAACTGAAGATAAAGGAAGGTCACATAACTGATGAGCCTGGACCAAGACTCAAAGTCAAGTCTCTTGGTCCTAAGCCTCCTTCTCGTTCCTGCATTTGGAAAATGGGCGAATGGAACAAAAGGACTTTAGGAGCGAACGGAAGGGTTGGTTCGGCAGACAACGCTGCATAGGCGCCAGCAGGACCCTGGCCGTGGTGCTGAATTCGTGCCCCAGAGACGGGACAGGTGCCCCGGCTGGGAGATTGGGCCCCTAGAGGCCACCAGTCTCGCAGGCGCAGCCCCAGGCCCTCATCCCCTGAAGCGGGAACTGAGAACTCAGTACCAGTCTAGGTTTCCAATTGCCCCCACCTCCCCTGGATCTGAGACGGGGAAGAGGGGCCAAGACCACCCTGTGCCTTTAAGAGCAAAAGACAGGTCCTTTGGGCAGAGCCTTTGAGTGGGTGGATTAACCCTTTCCTTCCCAGCTCAAGATAAAAGAGGAGGAGGAGGAAGCTGGGGACAGGCCCTCCAAGTCCCAATCAGAAGGCCCCCAGCCGGCCGAGGCAGAGGGGTACAGAGGCAGTAGGCTGGGGCCTGCAGTGCCTGGAACAGCAGCTCGCACGGAGCGCTCGCGAAGGGCTACCGGGGTTGGAGGCAGGACTCCGGGAAGCGCTCCTTCTCCTTCTCCCTCTCCGCAGCAGCCCCCTCCAACCAGGCCGGCTTCCCAGCAGCGCCCATTCCCTTCCCTTCCCCTTTGTCTCTCTTCCCGACCCCCCATCAGGTCAGGTCTTTCTGAGAGGGAAGGAGGCAGAATGAATTGGGGACAGTGCCCCTGAGGCCCAGACAGGGCCAGTCACCTCCTCCTAGTGTTCTAGTCCTCTGGGGCCCCCAAGCCCCAATACTCCATCCTCCAGTCTCTCGGCAGCCCTTGGACCCACCAGCCTTCCCCTCAACCCTCCTGGCCACCCGGAGCACCCGCCTTTCCTGCTCCCCCTGGCTCTACCTTCTGCGAGCTGAAGGACTGGGTCCAGTGGTACAGAACCAGGCTCTCCTTGGGCCAATGGGCGGGGCTGGCCGCCTCGGGCGCGTCGGGGGCCTCGACTGACTTGGCTGCATCGCTCTCCAGCGCCGAGATGGGCCACCAGCTGCAGTTGGTGGGGGTCAGGTTGTTGGGGGTCGCCATGACAGCCCGGGATCGGAGTGAGGAAAGGAGGCGGCTCTGGCGGCGGCGGCTCTCTCGCCCAGCATCACATGGCCTCGCCGAGCCTGCCCCTCTCCTTCCCCCCTCCTCCGTGAATGTCATTACTCACTGGGCGAGTGGGGGAGGGGGCGAGGGGATCCCGGGAGCTCCTGCCCTCCCCCTTCCCGTGGCCCGCCCCTTGCCCGCGTCAGAAGAGCCAACAGGCCCTCTCCGTCGACCTCCGCGGAATGGTGCGAGGAGCCGAAGGGAAGTGGGCCATGCCCCCTAACCAGCTCATATCTGGCCAGTCACGCTGCCAAAATTCCATTACAACCGCACTCTCCGCGCCTCTGGACGACGGTGTTATGGAGACCCATTCGTTTCAAAAATCGGTGTCTGGAAATCGTTTGTCTTCCTTGAGGCTGTAATCTGACCCTGCAGGGCCTCGAAGGGCAGAGGGAACAAGCTATGATTTAACAAACACTGTTCTAAAGGCTTGACTCACTTTACCCTTCTAAGAATCCTTTTAGCCTCCTATTACAGAGGAGGAGACTGAGGCACAAACTTGTTAAGTGACCTTGTGCAAAGTCATTTAGCTAGTAAGTCGTGGAGCTGGGGTTCGAGCCCAGGCAGCCTGGCTCCCTAGTCTATGCTCTTAGCTGTTAGCTCATGACACAATAATAAACAACAGCGCAGTAAGCATTTATCCACCCAAGCACTTCAAGTGCATCATTTATTTTATCTGCACAGTAGTCATTTTTTGCCAGATGAGGAAGTTGAGGCTCAGAGTCATAAAGTTACTGGTCCAAGGTCAAACCTTCACCCTGGGAGACTGAGACACAAACAGAGCGGCCCAAGAAGCCTGGAGTGCCTTTGCTGCCACATTCATCAGTCACTCACTGCCATTGAGTCAATTCCCACTGGGTTTCAAGGCTGTAAATCTTTACAGAAGTGCATCGCCTCGTCTTCCTTCTCTGGGGCAGCTGGTGGGTTTGAACCACCAACCTTCCGGTTAGCAGCCAAATGCCTTACCCACTACACCAGCAGCGCTCCTTACAGTCTCTTCTAAACAATCAGAAGATTTTCCATAAAGTTCCTTAATCCTCCTTACTATAAACATCAGTTTTCCTTACTATATTTTATGTTGTTTACCTTTGAGTAAAATTGATGCACCAAGAAGATAGCTTTTCAGTTTCACCCTCAGTCACGCTACCACGCTATCTGAGCACACTGACCCCCAGACGGACAAGCATGCCTCTTGAGGAATCAGTGTCTTTCCTTCTACCAGATAACAAAAGCTCAGTGGCCCATGGGTTTCCCTCTTTGTCTTGGCTGCTAGGAAGCTTAGAGCTACAGTTCCTCTCTGTTTTTTTTTTTTTTTTTTTTTTTTAGGTACAGTGTTCTTTATTGGTGGTACACGACAAGGTTGGGCTCTCTAAGCCCCTCCCCTTCTTCAGGGGGTCTGGATAAAAACTGTAGCAGATGAGAGATTCTCAGTGTGTTGGGGGATGGAGTTGGGCAAGGATTCCCCAGCAGCCCACAATCCTTCCACAATGCCAAAGTGGCCATGGATGACCTTGGCCAGGAGGGCCAAGCAGTTGGTGGTGCAGGAGGCATTGATGACAATCTTGAGGGAGTTGTCATACTTCTCGTGATTCACGCCCATCACAAACATGGGGGCATCGGCAGAAGGGGCAGAGATGATTACCCTTTTGGCACCACCCTTCAAGTGAGCCCCAGCCTTCTCCATGGTTGTGAAAATGCCAGTAGACTCTACAACATATTCAGCACCAGCATCACCCCACTTGATGTTGGTGGGATCCTGCTCCCAGAAGATGGTGATGTGCTTCTTCCCATTGATGACAAGCTTCCCATTCTCAGCCTTGACGGTACATGGAAGTTGCCATGGGTGGAATCATACTGGAACATGTAGACCATGTAGTTGAGGTCAATGAAGGGGTCATTGATGGCAACAACATCTACTTTTCCAGAGTTAAAAGCAGCCCTAGTGACCAGGTGCCCAATATGGCCAAATCCGTTTACTCCGACCTTCACCATCATGTCTCACGGAAGTGGCTGGGACTGCACAAGAGGGTGCAACTGTCTGTCAAGTGGGAAGGAGCAGAGAGCCTAGAGTTACAGTTTCTCTTAAATCCAAGCTGCCTCAGTAGGCCCCCTGGTTTAGCAACTTTTATCACTCCTTTCTGAAATTTTTATTTCTTCTTCCTCTTCAAAGTGCTTTTTTGTTCACTGTTTGATTTTGCAAAGAAGAATATGGTGTGTCTGGAGGGAAAGCTCAAATGTCTGTGTATCTAAGGGAGTGAGACGTTGGAGATTTAATCAAGGTGAAATATCTAGCTCACGTCTGTCTTGGAACTGACTGCATCTAGAGAGCCTGATTCACAGCAGTCACACCCAAGTGTGTATTGATTCACTCAACAAATATTAACTGTGCTAACCAGAAGTCTGGTGGTTCAAACCTACCAGCCACTCCTCAGAAGGAAGGTTGGGCTATCTACTTCCGTTGTGATACCACATCGGAAACCCAAGGAGGGGTCACTATGAGTTGGGTCCAATTGGACAGCACATAACAACAACTATGTGCCAGGCACCAGAGATACAGTAATAAATAAGACAGATCTTGCTCTGCTCTGCATTATTCACTTAGCAATACAGTCTACACTGCAGGGGTGCACCATAACAAATTTATTTAACAACTCTTATTGATGGGAGCTCTGGTAGCATAGTGGCTAAGGCACTTGACTGCTAACCAGAAGGCTGGCGGTTCAAACCAACCAGC